TCCACAGATGTTGAGACTTTGTGCCTATTTCATATTTAGGGGGAAACCCACAGAAAGAAAGTAGGAAAGCTATTTCTGTTACAGGGCAGCCCCGGTGTAAATGGGCTGCCTGACTGTGGGTCCTCACCTGCAAGCTAAAACGGGACCTGGAATGAGACACAACCACAGGCACACACAAAAACAGGTTAATAAAGTGTTTTTAAAAGACGGGGAAATGAAGAAAGGAATAACTCAGGGAGAAAGAGAGATAAATTGGCGGTGTGTCCTACCAGTTCTGCTGAGCTGGAAGCCCAGTAGAAAACTGAAAGCCAGCGAAAAGCCAAGCTCTCCCAAGGCTGGGAACGGTATACCAAGCTTGGCTGCTTGCCTCCACCCCTAGGTCCCAGCAGTCCTCCCTTCAGTGGTGATAGGATTATGGGATTTGTAGTCCTTGGTGTCTTGGATCTCTTTGGCCTGGGGTGGCCTATTTGTGAAGTTTTATCAGGACATCCTTTCCCCCCAACGTTGCCATTCAGTAATTAATCCCTTTTAGATATATTACAAAGTTAGTGCTCCTCAGTTCCTTCATCTATCAGACTTGAAACTTTGGAAAAATCTTCTACTTCTCCCTTCCTTATTTCACCATGTCTAACCTTTGAAAGTTCTGGTACCTCCCTCTACTCTTTCCATTCCTCATGTAGATTGTCCTGGCTGAGACCTTTGTCACCTCCCAGGATGCCTCCAGTCCCACTCTTCCTCCCGCAGTGAAGCTGCAGTAACATTAGATCCACCTAAGTAGGTCACCTAGGATGTATGCAAACCCACTTCTCACTTGCATTCACACTGTCCTAGTAGAAGTAGGAAAATTAAAATATTTTTCTATGTAATTTTAAATTATTCTTGAATATAGTTTTAAAAATTAAATTTAAAACTAAATATACTTTCTTCATTTTTAAAAAATCCACAGTGATTGTGGGAGAAAAATACAGAATAGATTATATTAATTTCAGCTAACTGATGTATTATAGTTAATTGTTGGATTTGGAAGTGATTATTCCTGATAGAAAAGTCAGTGATCTTAAAGGGTATTTCTTCTTTTTATCTTTGGGTAAAATAACAACCAAGTAAATGTTCAGTTTTGTTTTTGTTTTTTTGTTTTTTTTTTTCAGATTTATCTATTTATACATACAGAACTAGGGTACAGGTCAGAGGTGCAGGCCGGTGAGAGGCTTCACCAGAGACAGAGTGGGGAGCAGAACAGGCAGATTGACCAAGTACACTGCTGAGAGGAGCAGCGGGCGGGTCAGGAGAGGTCTGCTGCGCCATGTGGGTCATCTCCGGGGCAGGTGGGAATCGAACTTATGCTTAATGCAGTGCTTTAACCCACTGCGCCACCAGGGAGGGCCAATTTTCAGATTTTTAATGATCATTAAATTATGTTAAAAATCCTTTCAAATAATTGTAAATAAAACTTCATTGTGTCACCTCTTCACCACTTCTTGTGCATTACCTGCCTTATGCATGTACTTTAACTTCTAACCTGAACATTCTCTTTTGTATTCCGTTGCATTAAATTTTGTCGTAAGCATTTATTTGTACTTTCCCATGATTTTGCAAAATCTTCAATATTTCAGATATTAAAGGCTGTATGGCTTTGGTATGCAATAGTAACTTTTCAGTAGCAGGATTTTGAAGAGGCATTGCTAGTACTATTTCCTTTCTTAAAAGTTGTACAACTTTACATTGTCATCAGTGATAAGAGTGAAATTTTGCTGAAAGATAGTTTTGAATAATATACTATAAAAAGAAACCCTATTTTCTATAATGGTTTAATCCACTTTAATTTTATTTCTTTAGTTCTTTCAAAGGTAAACATTTCTAATGTTTGTTGACTTTCTATATCACTGTGTCAGTTACCTGGGAGATATATAAATTAATCATTACTTACAAATGTGTATTGGCTCAAGCATAAGGATTATCTAACTCTAGTTTATAAAGACATATTATAGTTATTTTATGAAATCCACTCTTTCTAATAAGCTTTTAAATAGTGTTTTTTACTAGGCATCAGGACTGAGTAAATGAAATGGACAGGATTTATTATGGCAAATTTCAGGCTCTTTCTGAAAATTGTTTTTGAAACTATATTTTTCAAAAGGTATTGCAAACATAAGTATAGTGATGGGAGACTTGCAGTCACATCTCATGACAATAGCTGAAACGGTGGCACTGGCTCAGAAATGAGCAGGAGATAAGCAAGACAAGCTAGATAACTCCAAGCAGACTCAGTGTAAATAAGATAAAGTGTTTCAAATAAATAACAATTCAGATTATCAGTGGGAAGATTTGATTACTGGAAAAAGAAAATAAAGTTAGAAGCATACTTTTTCTATAGCACACTCCAAAATAAAAGCTCTAGAAAAAAAGTTAATATATTTATCTCTCACATTGAGTCAGTCTTTTCAAAGAACAATACTGAACGCAAAAACCATTAAAAAAAAAAGCGGCAAGCTTGAGTACATAAAGTTTTAAAACTTTTACAAGGTAAAAAAAGAAGAAAAAATATAAAGGTAAAGAACTAGATAAGTTGTTTGCAATCAATATGATAAACAAGGTTTACTGTTATCCTTAAAGATAATTCATCAAAAGATTGCATATCGCAACAAACATATTTTGTTTTGCTTATACGTCTTCCCTAATCAAGAAAATATATATCAAAAACACTGGGATGCTGTTCTCACCAAATTAGCAAAGATTAGAAGCATGTTGCCCAGTGATGGCAAGTTTGGTGGGGATGTGGTGTTTGCACAAAGTGTATAACCTTTCTTGCGAGCAGCTTGGCAAGATGTGTCCATAGCACAACCCAGTAACCCCGAAAGTTCACATTATTTCATTGCGTTATGTTATTTATTAGTTTGCTGCTTCCCTTGAGAGGAACTCGAGCTACAACTTCAGGTGATAGGATGCAGACTGAGGCAGAACTTAGGCAAATACTATAATCTCTTTTTGCCTCAGTTTCCTCATCTGTAAAATGGAAATAATATTTATGTCATAGGACTGCTGTTACACAGGTTAACATGTTTAGAAATAGCCCCTGCAATAATGGTAGCTTCATTGTTAGCGGTGATTATCATAACCAACTAACCTAACTGGCCTATAAGAGCCTGGTTCAATAAATGCCATGTGTGGAAGCAAACAGCCACATGTTATATGATTGAATTGATGTGAAATGTCTAGAATAGTCAAACTTGGAAAGACAGAAAGTCTCTGATTGCCAGGGCCCAGAAGGAAGAGCCAGCTAATGGGTACTGGGTTTCTTTGGGGACTGATAAAAAGGAATTAATTAGTGATGCTTGCCTAACTTTGTGAATATACTAAAAAACACTGAACCATATACTTGAAAATGGTGAATTTTATGGTAAGTGAATTATAGCTTAATAAAATAATGTTATAAAAGTAAACTTGAATCTGTTAGCTATTTGATACCAGAATGTTAACAGTGTTTTATTTAAGAGATGTGAATCAGGAAATTATAAGTGAATTATAACCTTGTAGCTGTATCTCCAACTACCCCCCCTTTCTTTTTTTTTGTAACTTTGGAGCATTTTAAAACATGAAATTATTTGCTTCTATTATTAGAGGTTGGGCCTATATTTTTCATTATTTTAATGGTTATAAATGCTTGTTTACCATTCTGATACCTTTCGGACAGTTTAAATGAGAGAGTGTATATGTGTGCATGCTTTTGTGTTTGTGTTCTCCACAGGAATCTGCCAGTAAGATTCTTTTTTATGATGTACAACTGATTTAAGTTTGTTCTAGAAGAGGATAAGTAATACAAATTGATCTCATTTCCCCCATTATGATTTCCCTTTCTCCTGCCCTCATCATACTCCAGCCTTTATTATCCAAGATATAAAATGGGATTAGAGTAATTCCTTACTGTTGATTCTTTCAGTAAGCATTTATTGAGCACCTCCTACTGTGTCACTGTGCTAAAATTAAGGCTACAGAAGGGAAAAATTGGCTCTATACAATAAAGATAACCATTGTCAAGATACACTCTGAACTGTCAGAGGAGTGATTAGCCCAGATAAGAGTGATCAGGCAGGACTTCTTTCACCAGGGAGATAACTGAGGAGGTCAGCATTCAATGCCAGTTTACATCTCTTTTGCATTTTTAAAGAACCATCAAAATACTTGATGGTTAAAGCTCACACTTGACCCTTAGCACATCCTACCACAGAAAAGTAAATACTGGAAAAAGCAATAGGGACCATCCAAGACATGTCAGTAAGCCAGATTCTCTTGATTGGCAGGAAAGTTGCCGGGACATTCATGAAAATTTGGTTTCTGCTTCCTTGACTGCTTAAGACCTTTCATACCATCAGAGCTTTACAGCCTTTGCTTTCCCTAATGATAAAGAAATATTTGCACTCGAGGGAATTATTGTTTTCATTGTTATTGTTAAAGGAACAGACAAGTCCCCTTTACATTGTTTTCTGTAGGACTCTCTTTCAACCATATTGGTTGTTAAATGTTGAACCACATCCCTACAGGCTGGTGGGAAGCTGACACTGTCAGCCAGCTGGGTGCCCCACCACCGCCTGCCCTCGCCCCCAGGAGCTCCCCTACTCCCCACAGGCTGCGGTAGACTCATTACCCCAGGCGTACCAGCAGCGTACCCTGATCCCTCTGCTTTGCAGCCATTGCAGTTGCGGATTCTTGAGTCATCCCCACTTTTCAATAATTTTGAACATTGCCCTGGCTTCCAGACTGTTCTGTGAATCATTACTGTTTCAGGGCGGCTATCCCATGCCCACTGGCCTAGTGAAGGGCCATAGTGCCCCTGCCATTGCTTATTTATGTGGAACCAAACTCGGGTGATCCTTGCACTGACCGGAATACATCAGACTGCCACGCTAACCCCTGCAGCCTCCTCAACCACTCTGCTTGCTTGCTGGCGTTTTCTCCATGCCACGTTTTGACCTAAGTTCCGTGTTCTCTGATTGTTCTTCCAGTTCGCTTTGCACCTTACAGGCCTCCAGATATCTCCCTGAAGCCTCTGCTCTTCGAAGTGCCCAGCATCAGCGCGGAGTCAGTGTTCGTTGGCCGAGACTGGGTTTTCCACGAAATAGACGCGCAACTTCAAAGCGAAAACGCCAGCGTGAACCAGGGTGTGGTGATTGTGGGGAACATCGGGTTCGGCAAAACCGCCATCATCTCCAGGCTGGTGGCCCTCAGCTGCCACGGCTCGCGGATGCGGCAGATTGCCTCCGACAGCCCCCACGCCTCCCCCAAACGTACGTCTCCCTGCATCCATTGGCATTTTCCCGTCCGGTACATGAGGTCTCATTTCCCTTCATTTTCCGATGTGCACAATTGCCTTGCACACGAGGACGAACTTTCTGAGTTGAGGGGGAGAAGGAGGCACTCTGTCCACACTTAGCCCACATTTCCACCAGTCACCAGAGTGTGGCCGCAAAAAAACCTTCCTCGCAGAATAAATCAATGCCTCTCCCCACCTCGCTGTGTGCCAGGCCATCCTGTGTGACTACAGCGACGCCTCCATGGGCCCTCTGCTTCTGACACTGCACTTTGCTCAGCCTGTGCAGTGGCTTCTGGTTAGGGCTAGCACAGTCTGTTTGCAGCCTGCATGTCCTGGCTGTGGGTATCCCCATTGCAGCCCATGGACTGGGACTTCATTGTGTCCTTGGAGACTTACTCCTCCTTCCGTGTGAAGAGATGCTGAGACCTCATATATACTCATGTTTCCGTCACACAGGCCAGGCGCAACTTAATGTTCCCAACAAGATCTTGTTTGCTTATTTTTAAAATACACATGTGGCCCTAACTGTGTGCCCACCTTACAAATATTAATTCATCCAGTCATCTCTCCTCTCAGTGAGGGAGTCCCTATCTGCTTCAGTTCACAGTTCAGTTCTCTGCAACGCAGGCTTCCAGAAGCCTCCCAGGTTTCATAGCCAACACGTGGCTCACGCTAAGTGCTCCACAGCAAAGGTGACTTGAGTTCGTGTAGTTAGAGCCATCAGCACAGCGCCTGACACTCCAGCAGCAACGACTGAACACCATCCTGGAAATACCGAACCGCCCTAATCATCCGTAGGCAGGTCGCCCTCGGTGACCTTGTGCATCTCTAACATGGGCCAGAAAAACCAGTGTGTAGAAGGAAGCTAGTTGGGTAAAGAGTACTGTTGATCAGGGTTTATCACGCTCAGAAGGCTACAGAGACTCCCTTCCTTGGGACAGCTTCAGCTTCTGGGGCAGAGCGACTCAGCTCCTGGGGAGTCGGAGCCCAGAACTTGAGCCTCAACACTAAGATTAACTGTATTTTATAACCTTGAGAATTGGTCTTTAATTCTTCACACCTCAGGGTTTTTTAATCTATAAAGTGAAGAAGAGAGACTAGGTGATCTTTAAGATTTTGTTCCTGTACTAAAATTCTCTACTTATAAGAACACCTTCGCGGTTAAAGGTAATTTTCCACACCTCTTCCATTCTTGTCCTTTAAGTGCTTAAATATCACACCAAACTACTTCTGTCTGGGTAATCCAAGAGGTTAAAGACTTTGAGTGTGTCAGGAAGAAAACCAGAGAGCTGGTTGTCTCTCTGACTACTCTGTCTGTCACTGCTGCAGATAACAGGGTGATAGAATTGGGTATGAGAGAATAAACCCAAAGGGTAAGAAAAGCAGCTTTATCAGAAAGCAGAGGTGCAAAGACCTCCTTCCCCACCGTCTTGTCTGGAGAGCCGCAGTTAATAGGAAAGAGCCCCGAAGCAAAGGTCCTTTAAGGGTGGTTCATTGAGTTACAGCTGCCTTTTATCTCTAGAGAAACTAAAAATACCAGGACACCCCCATTCATGAGATAAAGTCTCCCATACGTTGAGACTGTAGATTTGATCCAGTTGGAGTGCTGTCAGAGGAAGTAGTCTGTGGGGATGTTTATCACCAGTACACAGAACCATCAGGCGCCTTATTACACAATACTGTGGGTTGTAATCTGCAGATGTCCAAACTACCTTCTGCCCCTGGCAGCTCAGCCACACCACCCTTGTCCTTCAGAGGAGTTACAAGTTAGTGACTGACAGGGGCATGCACATGGGCCTGCCATTTTTCAGCCTAACTTGGGTCCTCCCTGGCCCCTAGCCAGACATGTTACTGGTGGCAGCAGAATTTTTTTCATCCGTGAATTAGACCCGTATCTGTATAGGGAAAATTAGCTTAATTTTTCACAGAGTTTAGTTTACATTAAGCTTAAATAGGTTAATGTAAACTTGGAATCCCACCGGCTTCCCGTAACCCTCAGTCAGCAATACCACTGATGGAGTTGTGTTAATAACTAAAACAAGAACATCACTGGGGCTCCCAACTTGCATCTCTGCACCTCCTGACTAGGAAGCTCTTTCTCCTGCCCCTGCGCCCTCCAGGCTGAGCAGCCCTGCTGTGGGAGACGACAGCAGCTCAGCCGCAGCTCTGCACCGCTGACTCCATCCTTCCCCCACAGACACTCAGCCCCCAGCCCACCCCCTCCCTGTCATCTCCCTGGGAAGGTACAGAGAAGCTGTCAAGGCAGGCAGTAGCCTGTCATCCCGCTTTCCACCTACACCCCTTGCCAAACCTGACTCCCCCATCCTGCTCCACCACCACCATCATCAGCCACCTCCCAACACATACATACAAAGCACAGAAAGCGTGTTGTAAAAATGGACCTGTTGTGTAATTCAGGCATTACTATGTTCACTTGTAAGTGTACTCAGCACCGTGGCTAGGGAAGCGCTGTCTTATGCAAGACGATATTTCCATCTCTGAAAGTCTCAATGTAGTTATGATTTGGACTTGATATTCACCAGCAGCTGCCAAGCCCCCTAACAGATGTTAAGTCAGGAACCCTCCCTTCCCTACACTGCTCCTTCCAGAAGTCTGCCTTGCCACCTCACACAGCCTGCTGCCCGCCTATTAGCTTTTATTTCTGCTGTTCTCTGAATGCCAGACAGAAAGTAAAGATACTCAGACAAAAAAGAAGGCATCTCCAAAATAGGAGTCACTAGCAACAAGATGGGAAAGCTGCACAATAATTACCCACAAAATCAAATACCAAATTAAAGGGGATGGGATGGAGAGAGGGAGTGAACTCCACAGCAACAGTTCAGTGACAGTCACCAAACTTGCCCTCAACACACATATTCCTTTAGGTTTTTCATTAGCATCTACAAGGCCAGGGTGCACGCTGCTTGGGAGGAATTGCGCTCCCAAGCACTGGCAGGGAGCGACACGAGACTGCCTTCTCCTACTCCCACTCCTCTTTAAGAGCCATTGGCCATCAAATAGTAGTCTATTGACATGGTACCTTTCGAAATATGAGCTGTATTCATAAATATAGCCTATAATTTCTAGTAGCTAATATGTTTTTAAGTAACACGAACAATTGGAATTTTTTTAAAGAATAGTATTATGAAGCTATAATTCATATGCCATTATAATTCACCCATTAAAATCATTCAGTTTGGTATTTCTAGCATATTCTCAATTATACAGCAATCACCATAATCTAACATGAGAATATTTTTACTCCCCTAAAAGAAATCTCATAACCTCATTCTCCCCCTTATTTCCCACTACCCACCCCTTGGGGAACCACTAATCTACGTTTGTCCCTATGGATTTCCCTATTCTAGGCATTTTGTAAAATTAGAATCAACAAAGTATGTCTTTCATTGCTGACGTATTTGCATGAGTATAATATTTTCAGTGGTTTCTGTTACATTGCAAGGAGTAGGTTGCATGAGCATAGAACAGATGGAAATCAGTCTTCATTTAGTTCTGAGTTTGATCTGATGCAAGTCTCCTCCTTCTGTCCAGATGTGGATGCCAACAGAGAGTTGCCGCTCACACAGCCACCGGCCACCCATGCATCCATCGCCAGTGGGAGCTGCCCAGGAACACCAGAGATGCGCAGGCGGCAGGAGGAGGCCATGAGGAGACTGGCCTCGCAGGTATCACAGGGCTCCGCATCTGTCTGAGCATCACGATGGCCAAGGTTGGGAGAGCTTTGCAGAATGAACAAACTTACACAGGTTTGCCATGAGAGCATAGAGCAAAGTTCCTCTGCTTGGCTATTTTTAGAACAGTACTTCCTTCTGAGAGAATTAGAACCTTAGAGTTGGAACAGAAGTTCCAACTTAGAAAAGAACAAACATTCTCTACTAATTCACTAAGGAAGTTGAGACAAGTTACATGGTTTGCCCGACATCACAGTTTAAGTGACCTATATGTTTTATTGTCGTACCTGGCTAGAACTCTTCCTGTTTTACAAACTTGTAATTTTTTTTATGTTTGGATTGAAAATTTTTCTTCTTACCAAGGTAACATGTGCACACAGTTTAGAAAATCAAATAACTCTCAAGCACATACAGTACAACCCAACACTTCTCTTCCCTCATCAGCTCGCCCTCACCTCAAAGACAGCCCCTTTCCACTCTCAGGGCTGTGTTTTTGGTCTTTGTTTCTAAATATTGTTCATATACTCATTAGTTTACATTATTTTCCATGACTTCTTCCTATGATGAGAACTTGATCCCTGTCGCCACCCTGCGTCCCTCCCTGCCTCAGCATAGTGACTGTGCTCTGTGTCTAAGTCTGTATTGGTGTGTGCAGCAGTGATGCGTGTGTATTCACCATGGAGCCAGTGGTGGCATTTCTGTCGTAAGCGATCTTGTTTGCCTGTGGGTTATGAAATGCCTTGATTTCAAATGTGCGCATGGGAGCTTTGGAGGACAGTGAGTGAGGCATGTGCATCTCTTGAGGTGTAAAGCTCTACTCCCAGCTTTATCTAGGCATGTAAACAAATGGTAAGTTAGTGCAATTTGATTTTTCAAAATGTGTTAATTTTTCTTCAGACCTAGTCTGAATCATCCCAGAACCCCTAATCACTTTATAAAATGTTTTTCAGTAAATCTTCCACATCGGTCACATTTTCCCCCATAAACAGCCACCCCGCCTCATTGTCCCTGGAAGTTCCTGCTGCTTTGTACCTGAGGGCCTGGTCATCTTGTTTGACTTTGTCCCGAATCTTGGTGGAGCACATCCTCCAGTCGCTTCCTAGGAAAGGATGCATAGAAAATTTCATGAAATCATCTCTGAAAGCCGCTTAATTCCATTCTCATCTTTTATTACAGGTCTGACACATATAATTCTAGATTAAACTTTGATTCCTTCAAAATTTTGAATGGTTCTCCATCGTCTTGCACTTCCAATATTATTAAATGTGCGGTACTGTATTTAGTCCTAAACTTTTATATTCACCTTTTTTCTCTACACAGCTTTTAGGATCTTCTCTTGATCACCACTGTTCTTGGACTTTTTTTTTTTTTTCATTTAGTCTCTTGGTACCTAACAAACCCGAGAGATATACTGATTCTAGGAAATGTTTTTGACAATTTCCTCACCATCTCCTCCATTCTCCTTTTCTAACCAAAAATTAAATTTCCTCTTCTGTTTTCTTAGATTTGTCTCCTGTTTCCTCTGCCTTTCTGTTTGGGGATTTTTGACCCCCCTCTAAGAGGTTTCATCAACATCACCCTCCATTTCTTTCACAAAAAACAAAAGGTTTGCCTCTCATAGTTGGGATTTCCAAGCTCTTTCTTTAGTTGTCCCCTTATTTATAGTGTCGTGTTCTTTATGGATGCCTGTGGTGGCTTACCATTTTCTCAGTAGTTAGGCACTGAACAACAGATTGGAAATTTGTGTGTGTGCAGAACTTAACTATAAAGTCTTAGAATGACCCACCAGCTGGCCCTGGAAACACCCAAAAGTTGGTGTCCGTAAGTTTGGGTTTTTCGTGTGCTGTTCATCTCCTCTAGCCAAGAAAATGCCCGTGGCCTCCATAGGTGTGCCATATCCTGGGCACCAGCACTCTGGAGTCAGCAGGAAGAAGAGGCGGAAGTGTCTGCACTCAGCGTGCAGACTTGCAAGCCCCTGTCTTCAGCCCTGCATCTGACCCTGCCTGCTCCATGTCTGGGTCCTTCCATCCAGCTCCCCTCTGCTTAGTTCCTCTTTCCTACTGCTGTTGAAGGTAATCATCTGGCTGAGCAGGGGATAGGTGGGCGTCTGAGGATGTAACTCATGAACGTCCAATAATTTCTGTTTTCTCAACTCCCCTTCATATCTCCTTTTTTCACAGTATCTGGTACTTCTAACTTCTGTGCTTTTCTGAGATTTACAGATTCCAGTTGTTACTACCCACAACAGGCATTGTTTCACCTTCTTCTTTCTGTTAAGCCAGTCATGTTTCCTACATTATGAGTCTGACAATTTCTATCTTTATATGCTATAATTAGAGATTATAGATAGGTAAGTGGAGTTTGCATTTCTATTTCTTACACTTCTTTTTATTTTTAAGGACTTTGAAGAAAAGGGCAGAGTCTAAAATATCTCCAGAATTTTAAAGATATCACTTGTCTTAAGAGGCAGGAAGTCTCTTGCTATATTGTAAGGCTCTAATTTTTAGAGAAATCCAGTCTTTCTCAGAAGAACTGTGCATCCATCACCTACATTTTTAATGATCCACACACATTTGGTGTATACTCATTTAGGAGTGGACTTGTTAGGAGAGACATTCTGAAATGTCCTCATATTCTCTGCTAATCCAGTGCAACTTTAAAAGACATTTCCATCTTGCTGGGGTTTTTTGTCTGGTGTTTTGTAAACTTTTTCCAGGCTCCTCTTTTCAACAGTCTGAATAAATACCATCTGAGAAATATACAGACACTAAAGCATTTCCATCATCACAGTTATTTATTCTCCTAGAATGTATGCTTGGAACATCTATAATAGACTTAAGAAAAGCAGCAAACAAAACAGCCTCACTCCCTGTTGTTATGTAACCCCATTCTCATGGTGAAGGCGAATAAACAAACAAATACATGACTTGTCAGATGGTGATGAGTGCTAGAAAGAGCTCAGAGAATTCAGTTTCCCCACATTGTCACTTTTTAGTGTCTCTCCCATCAAGAGAACAAGACCCAAGATGTTTGTGTTCAGTGTTTGGAAAATGTTTAAAAATTCCAAGTAGGAAGTGAGTGATTATTTACACCTAAGAAGCATCATTTGAAATTTTGAGATCATTTCTCCTATAAACAAAACGTACTGTATATTTCTAAAACCTAGAGGTGGGGTATTTTAAGTTCACACAAAGAATTGTAATCAGAATGACCTGCTAGGTTAAAACTGAGCATCACTTTCAGGACGTAGGCCCCAGTGGCAGCCGAGACGTGGCCTGGTTCTGTGGTGGCACAGTGCAGAAGCGGCGGTCTCGCTGTCCTGTGAGACAGGCCAGTCGGCAGAAGCCGCCCTTCCAGCTTGTGCTCGGACGGCGCGAGCTGAAGTATAAAGAAATGAAGAGTCCCAGGAAAGCCCTTGGGTTGATGTTCAGCATCTCAGTGTCCGTTCCGCCTGTCAGCGACTGCTGTTGGTGTCTTGTATTGCCCTACTTCAGAATTCCCGTGCTGCAACTGAATCGCAAACACTGATGCGTTTTTGTCCCAAATTGAGAGCAATTTTACTTATTGGAGAAACGCTTTCCACTCAAATAGCACTTTTTGGTTGGCATCTCTTAAATGTTTTTCCAGTTAACATTACATAAATCTCCTGACGTATAATTGCAGTGAAAGGGCACAGAGATGTCATTCAAGGCCTTGCTTGAGATGTGAATTAAAATAGAATAGCTACAGCTTTTCCAGATGGGACTTTTTTTTTGATATTTTGCATTTTATTCATTCATTCATTTGAGGTCATATCAGCTGGCATCACTGTGTATGAGCAGAGGGGCAGGCACACCTCTCAGATGCGCACCACCATGCCCACCGAGCCCCTACGCCCTGCATCGCATACACGCAGGCTCCCACCCTCTGTGCTCCCGTCCCCCTCCAGTGCCTCATTCTGAAGTCATTTCTAGCTTTGTTTTGGTTTAGTTCTGTCAGGCTCTTTGTTTTGTTTCTCTATATTCCACATATGACTGAAATAACCTGATCTTGTCTTTCTCCCTCTGGTTTACTTCCCTTGACATAACCCTAGGTTTTGAGTCGCTACAACCCAGTGATCATGCACGTAGAATCCTCCAGTCAAGAGGAGAAACTAGCTTCCACTTGCTGAGGGCTTAAATGCCTGTAGAGCTCAGTGTCTTATGTGATTTTTGTCATTTCATTTCCTCATTCTTACCTTAACCCTATGCTATGGTTGATATCCTCATTTTAAAGATGCAGAAACTCCTTGAGTGACCAGTTGGCTTTTTCATGGTCATACTATTTGTAAGTGGTAGAGGTAGGATTCCAGAGCAGCGTCGAAAGGGAATTCTCTTGTTCTCCCCATTATACAGATAAGGGAACAGACTCTGAGATTAAATAACTTGGAGAAATAATACAAACAAAATTTAAACTGAAGCAAGAAGCCTGTGGCATCCTCGTCCCTAACCACTGAACTGGAGTTTTGTTTAGTGTTCTGTTAGAAAACCTATCAGTAGTTGACTTATTGCAAGAAAATTGTAATGAAGGAGCATTTTAGTCATCACCTAAAATTCCTCTTCAAAAACAGTTTTTACGCAGCTAGAAGCTCCTGTCACATTAGGTAAGTTGTCACTGGCTTAGTCCTTAGGTTAAGCTAATACTCCTGAACTTAGCTAATTAGGGAAACCAACTGATTTTAAGAGGTGACAAAAAGCTCAAATATCATCCTTACCCAGAAATAAGTTTGCACTAGGTCAGGAAGGTGTCAAACGATCATAGCTCCTGAATTATCGGTGCTGCTGTCAATGCGAGAGAAGTTCCCGTCTCAGCAGTCCCTCTGCGAGCGTGCTGAGCACACGTGGACACTGAAGCCATAGAGCAGAGGGTGGGGTTTGATTTCATTTGCAGTTGTCTATTTTTGAAAAGATTTTTAGGAAAAATGAGATCCAAACTAAATTACAAATAACCCAGAGGTGGTGTTTTCTGTTTGTCTG